CAACCAGTGAAAATTTCATGTATATACGTTCATTTGTTTTGGAGTTACACCAATAACCAAAATCGATTTTTTGGAAAACCAATTTTGCGTAAAAATTCCCGTTTTTCCTTAATTTTTATGTTGTTTTTTCCCGGCGCTTGTGAAAACTACTGGGAAATTTATACTTTTGACCCCCCAAAGTACCAACTAGATTCACTTTCCTATCAGAAAAGCTACTGATGAAGAAAATCCAAGCACTTTTACTGTCCTAAAACGTGATGACAGACACAAAAATATAAATAAAAATATAAAAATATAAAAATATAAAAATATAAAAACATACATCATTGTAAAACCAATACATTCATCGCTCCGCTCAGAATCTAAAATATAAAAAAAAACACACATCATTGTAAAACCAATACATTCATCGCTTCCCTCAGAATCTAAAATAACAATCATAAAATATTGTACAGATATAATTGAATACACTTCAATAATAATTCGCCCTCCTGTATTCGCTGGTTGTTTTCTTGGAATTGACCTTCGCTTGTTCTACCTCTTTTATGAGCTCATCATATCTTGTATCACTTATTAGAGCACTGCATTCACTTTTCGTAATTTCTTTAAGTTTTAATTCAAATTTAGTTTTAAAATCAGACACATACATTTCGTTAGCCATTGCTAAAGACGTACTAATATAAGCTCACAAAAATACGAACTATACAGTAACTACGGTACAATATTGTATCATTTAGATAAGGTGTATTTTGTGTAGGTACCTTTAATATTAAAGGTAACGAGTCGATGAAATACGATAACAACGATAAATAAACAAGATACGTGGTGTCATATTTTATAATCGTAATAAATTCGTACGACAAAAATCAATATTTGTATTTAATATCAGTGAACGTATATAAGACACTACGGTTTTGCCATTACGATAAAAGCCAGTATACGGTTTTGCCCAAATGAGGTTGCAAGTCATAACTAGGTTTGCCCGGTCAAAAGCCGAAGTATGACATTTTGCCCAAGGATTGTGGGAAGTTCGCGTTTTGACCGGGCATTTCTGAGGTTAGCCCGATGTCGGCTTTTGACCGTAACATATACAGTATTCACTGCATAATATTATTACATTATAGTATTTTGCAGTACACGTCATGCAGAGTTGGTGTCACAGCAGCAGCTATATAGTATAAACGCTGAATGACGTTTGATGGAATTATAATATTATACATTTTAAAATATTATATCTAACGACAATATTTATATAATATTATCATATGATTAGAAGGTCAGACATAATATAATATACGTAATTATTTTAGCGACCACTCACGACGATACTAACTGCGCAGTCTGCACTGATTGGAAGATTTTTATGGCTTTAATTTTCTGTGTACGAACTTCGTCGATGTTTCATAGCTACTCATTACTTATAATAATAATATGTACTTATCTTATGTATTTGATATTTATCTTTTTTTTTATTTTAAGGTTGAAGCTAGGTCGCTAGGATAAGCGTTATAGTTGGATCTTGGATCCTTGAGAGTTGAGAACGATGATAGGTAGTTACAGAATATAATAGAGTTGGACCATCGTAAATAGTTGATTGTTCGACAGTTCGTGTTTTTTTCTTCAGGTACCTACACAATAATACATGAATATATTATTATTTATTATGATAAACACTGAGAGAAAGGAACACACGTGTTTATAGGTAGATACTATGTATCTAAACCTATATAATACTACATAACATACAGAATTCGAGATAGCTGTGGAGGGGAAAAGACTAGATAGGGAGAAGAGGGAGGGGCATTCACCCAAGGCCAAAATCGTGAAAAAAATTAGCAAACTTTATATACATAAAATAGCCATAATAATGTGTTCCTGAATCGTGACCACACGCGAATTTTTATTAATTCTTATATTTTTACCAATTAAAATTATTTTATTAAATTTAATTAAAAAAAAAAAAATACAGTAACACATACGTTACATGATATGTCTTATTGGTACTGCGACACAAGGATAAAGAATATATACGCACATGTGGGTATTATAGTATTTGATGTTGTTACTATAATTAAGTAAATAAATAAATTACTGATATAAACAAACGATATTAATTGTGTTTAATCATTTTCGGTTTTGGTTTATTGTATAGTAGCACTTGGCAAATACCTGAAAGGCTGAACCTCTTATATTCTTATATTATGTTTTAATAAAAAATAATAAATTAAATAAATAATATAAATAATAAATTTCATGGTGGGGATGGGGTGGACATAATGTTACAAACAGTAAAACATTTTAGGGCATAAAATAATTCATATCTTAAAGTTTTCTAATGCAAAGTCCAAGACATAAAAAGATTTACAACATTGAACTATTTAGCTTTAATTTTTTATTTAACTATTACCTAACTTTTTTATTTAAATGCATTTATGAATGTTGTGTATAATTTATTTGTTTTTGTCATAATATTATAATAATAAGAATAAAATATACCTAATACCTATATAGGTACATTAATATTATGTGTAATATGTGTTTAAAACTCTGCTAACAGTTTATTTTGTTCAAAAAACCTCGCTTACAATATTATTATACAGCCGTTTGATATCTGGTAATAAGCTGGTTATTCGATGAATAAATTTGATCATAAACCCGGGTCTAGACTGCTGAATGAAACTGTTTTTAAATTGTTTTCTTTATAGTCAAAAATGATTCAGTGTATATGGTACCTATATATATTATTGTATAGTTAGCATAAGAAACAGCCCACACACAGGTGGTTGAAATTATAATACCATTGGTATTATATATTTATATAGTCTTGATACAACTTTAGGTTCACGTTGCCCGCATATATAATATGTGTCGCATCCATATCCATTTCACGAAATATAATCTATATTGTGTAATTAAGTGAAGTGAAAAAACCGCTGTTCCATTTCGTGAAATGGATTTAAACCCT